AGAATTTTGTGAGGAAGCGTCTCAGTCTATTCCAGGAGTTGATTGAATTGTTGGGCATAGTGTCCAACCATTTTACTGCTAAATCCGACAATGTAAATGGAAACAATCTCAAGTAAATCTCATCCTTGGACCAACCTTGAATCTTGAAGGTGCTACATAATCTCAGGAATTTCCTGATGAGCTCATTGGGATCTTCACTAGGCAGTCCATAGAAAGGACAAGTAGCTTGCACCCGTAGAATCATTTGAGTTTTGAGGTCAAAGTTCTCTTCTGCAACATAATTGTACACCAGTGGAGTTTGAACTTCCTCCTCTTGGGGTACAAAATAATCTCTTAGCAGTCTGGGTGGAGCTGGTTGTAGCTCTCTTTCTTGAGGTTGATCAGCTGCTGCCACTTCTGCCATCTGCTTTGGGTCTTTAAGAACACGAGCAGCAGCTTCTTTGTTTCGCAAGGCCTTGGATTTGCTTGCCATGATTTCAATTTCTTGATCGAAACATAGCTCTCATGATGGATTGCTACAAGTCTTAATAAACCAGTAATCAAAACACGAAAAATAACAATAGCAAGATTTGTTATTTGAGTAAGTAAATTTGATTAAGAAAAAACTAAAAAGAAAAAAATATAGAACACTAGAATCAGATTTCAAGGATTTTTAACGCCATCCCCAATAGCGGCTTTGGTGAATGTCGTTTAGTGTTTACCACTTTCCCCAAAAGAAATATTTATAAACCTACTTAAAACTAATAGCTAGTGGTAAGCAGGGTCGTCCCACAGAGACCGCAGTCAACCGCTCAAAATCTGATTAAAGTCGAGAAAATAAAGAAAATGAGTTGAACAAAGTGTCACTCGGGAGAGTGAGAACAGTCACTTGACAGGGTGAAGAGGCAGAAGGGTCAATCACCTTCCTACCTTTATGATCCAGTTTTGACTCAATATTCCTATAGTATGTTTAGTTGTTTGATCAGACACTTATATATCTTTATAATTCCTTCCAGATAGAATAAAGAGTCCAAGATTATCTAAATCACCTGCCTTCCAGTCAGAGTAGATCATTAACCTAAGCCATTGAGTTCTTAAGCCTTTTATGATGCCCTATGCCATTCACCGAACTTCTGTTGATGTCTGGAACCGCAGGGTAGATTTTCTCTATTATCATAGACTAGATTAGGTAGTTCTATGGTTGTGCTCCCCCTTCCAGATTTTCATAACCATGCAAAAACATTTAATTAAGTAGCCAAGTTAATTAAAAAGTTAATTAAATCACTTATCTAGGTACAACACCTCATCAAGGAAACTGAGTCAAAACTTTCACATAAAGATAGTAGGGATTGAAACCTTAACTGAGTTAGCTACTCATGTTTATTGAGTTAAACACGAGAGAAATAGAGTACAAAATATAACACATGAATCTTGATCAAAAGTTTAGAGGAAAGAAAGAGAAGATGGTAGTAGGGACAGTTTCTGTCTACTCACTATGGCAAGTGGCATTCGCCACTTGACAAAGTGAGAGTCTGCCTCCTTGTTTCTGCTACTACTCTGTTTCTAACCTACTAACAAACTACCTAACTACTATCTTTTAGACTAAATCTAACTACCCAATCTGTTATTTTTCTATTGCTATTGGCTTGGCTATTTATAGAGATTTGGAGAGGCTTGGATTGGTGGAGATCTGGCCTTCGTTGCAGCAGGACAGAGGAGACTGCAAGTTGCCTAATTGGCAAGTTGTTGTCTTCTCTGGTTAGCTCTTTCCTTCTACAGCCGCAATCAGCCATCTTCTACTCATCATTGCAGCTTCGCCTTAGTCTTCTTCTCCTGCGCCTTCTCAGCATTTGCATCCGAAAATCTCTATTTCTTCGTGCTTTATTCTTTATAGCTCAATTTGCAGCAGTCAGCAAGCAGCAGCATCAGCAACATGCTTTCTTCCGTCATTGTGTCTCCAGCCTCCAATTTAGGTACAATTCAGCCTGAATCTTCTGCCCTTTTCTTACTTGTTTCATGAGTCACTTGCTATGCCATTGCTCACCCTTCTACAGCAGCCAATCCATAAACTTAGTAGTAGTATCAGTTGGTAAGAAGCAGAGTTACAGATGCTATTTATCACATATACTCCCTCTTTTTCTTCTTCCAATTGCAACAGCAACTACTTGCAATGATGGCAAAGCAATTTCATTCCTTGGGCACCAAGATTTCAGCTCGTGGCTCCTCTTTGATTGACAGTACAGCAACAGCTACTGCAGCAGCAATCTGGCAGCAGGGCAGCTGCCCTTCTTCCACTCAATTGAGTGTGCTGCTGCAAATTCTTCCAAGTTGTGATCATCTGCTGCCATTCTTCCTTCCTTAGCAAGGATTTCTCCACTTGCTCCAGCTCTGATGGACCTTCTAACAGCTCAATTTCTAGCAGCTTCCATTCCAGTCCTTTCTGATGCCTTTTTGTGCGAATTGGTTCTCATTCATGCTGATCTTCTACATTGGCTTTTTGAGATTCCTGAACTGCAAAATCACCCCAAAAAGAACTAATCCTATCTAATTGTTAGTAAATTATAATTAGAAATGATTAAGAAATGCCTGCTAAAAGGGTATATATTTTTATGTTGTCAAAAATTGAGTGATGTTTTGGGATATTTTTTTTGCATATTGCATGAGAACAACTTCAGCTCCATGTTCATCTCCAAATTAACAAAATCAACAAAAGTTTCTCAAAGTATTTCTACTGTCAACATCATTGACCATTGGCATGGTACCGCTCTCCTTGAGTTCCAAATGCTTCGTCCCAAATGGAACAATACGCCATCTAGTTGAAAGAATAACCATTTTGATAGCCTCTTTAAAATGGCTACAAGGAAACGACCATGAATAACAAATCACACATAGATAACCTATCTATACAGACACCCATTGCTACAAAGAATTTATTTTTCTCCCTTTGATTTCTCAAGAAATTTGAAACACTTTATGAAAAAATAAGAAATGTGAGGAGATTTAATGCGTATGGAACGATGCAGAAGGCAACCTAAGAAGCGATGTGTCCAAACTGAAAAGGCATTCCCAATTCTTAAGGTTGCATTGTTTCATTCGACACAATGGTTCAATAATTTTAAAATTTTTTCAATTTCTTTCACCCAAGCAATCGCCTAAATAAATGTATCGATACCCAATTAAAGAAGAAGAAACTATTTTTTTTTTTAAAAAAAACTGAATGAAATCATAGAGTTTCCCTAACATTTTCTGCTTTAAAAAAATAGAAATGAAAGCAACCTTTGACACCAGACCACATCATATATCCACTTAAATGTATATAGCTAATGTAGTAATAAAGTTTTTTCCTCCTGAACTTCAGTGTACTGTTTAGCCATATCGTGGTACTACAAAGATTTTGAGAACATTATCCTTGAGAATTACAAATTTTATTTTGTATCGTGAATGAATAAAATGATTCACTGCAGTTGTTCTATGGGGCACCCGGTGCTACCTATTTTAGGTAACACCAGGCGGTGGGCGCACTTGGACGCGCGCTCACTCTTTTTTTTCCCTCCATTTTTTAAAATTTTTTAACTTTATTATTTTTATTAATTTTAGGCTCTAATTTAATTAAAAATAATTAAACCTTCCTAAATTGTAAACACTAAATTGTGCATAAGACTCTTCAAAATTCAAGTGAGGAAAAGTCAGCGTCAAATAACTCTTCTGCATCTGACTCTTCTCCCTCAAATAAGGAAGGAATCTCTTCCTCAAATAACTCTTTTAACAGCCCCGTTAAAAAGTTAAATCCGGAAGTCCCAGAATTTACCATCTCTCCTCAGCCTCTTTTACAAGTTTTACTGCTCATTACGGTTGCAAAATCGTACTTGTCCAAGGATGATATAGAAATGGGGAAGAACACTGAGACTTTTAATCCAAATTATTCGATTGAAGAAATAAATTCCGAAGGTGGACTAAATCATGCTTATGAATATGACGACTTTAATATGGAATATGCAATGGAACAAGAGTCTTTTTACAGTGAAGTTTCTGCTCCAACGTATCACAATCGATCGAGAAAAGCTAAGGCTAAAAAGAGAGTTCAAGTTCGTCGCTTTGCTTGATTGAACAAGGATTCAACTTTACTTTAAAATTCAATTTGTATTTGATATAGGGTTTAGTATATTCGCTGCCCTATTTTTTCGTTATTATTAATAAAATTGTTTTTTATAAAAAAAAAACACTAAAATCAATATATTTTTTTATTTGTTATAATTTAATTAGATTAGGGTCCCTAACTTAATTAAATTAAAAAATTTATAATTTAATCATGTTACGTCAAACACTAGATCCTAACATAATTGAAATGTTAAAACTCTCCTAAACCTTAAACCTCAATCACTAAACCCTAACTTAATTAAAATAATTAAATCCTCCTAAATTCTAAATGCTATTCACTAGGACCTAACTTAATTGAATGCCTAAACCTTCTTAAACTCTAAACACAAACAAACTAACTTTTTATTCGGTTTAAATTTTTTTAATTCAATTAGGCTAGGGTCTCGTAGCGTAGTTTAATTAAAAAAATTTATAAGTTATCCGTATTACGTTACACACTAGACCTGAATCTATTAATTGCGTGTGTAAAGCGTGAGCGAAATTTGACTAAAAAAATATTTTAAAGATTAAAAAGACTAAAATACAAAATTAAAATCAAAAAGATAAAAGGAAAGAGAGAGAGAGAGAGCGCCTCACGCTCATGCCCATCCCGGTGCTCACCGGGTGCCCCGTATAATTTGCGTGATTCACCGTATGTATAGCTTTCAATGATTGAAAATTTTGAGTTTGATGAAATTCTATATATTTATTGATGATTAAAATTTTGTAAACATATTCTTGGAAGGAAAATCTTGTTCTAATTTGTTACTACCAAAAAAAAAAAAAGAAAAATCTGTTTTATACTTCTAATACATGCATCACGAAAGGATCTCATATAACTAAAATCTCTGCGTGCCTAATATGTGCTTATCTACCTAATAATATGTGCTTACTTTCGCTCTATACAAATCTCACACATATAAAATGTGAAAAACCTCAATGAATGGGGGCAAAAAGATATAGAGAGCTAGCTTTATTCGAGATGAAAACAACACTTGTTTAATGTTGATGCGAAATTCTAAACAGGATGAGACAACAAAAACTGAAGTTTTTGATTTGCGATATCAAATTCCAACAACCTGTCAGCATTTTCAATTTAGATGTCTTTCATGTTTGTGCCATCTGGTGCTCGCTCATTTGATAGATTTACTTCCAAAGAAGCTAAAACCCTACCATATTTAAGAAGATATCTCAATACAAGAAGTTCAGTTTCTGTCCCTTTAAACCCTTCCACCACAACTTTTTTTAGGTTCTTCTTTACACAATAAGGCACCACTGCAGGAAACGGATTAAAAGTTGTAACAACCTTGAGAAATGGATGTTCATCCAAACGGAAGGGGGGGGGCTCGTATTCCTGAAATCATACAATTCAAGCACGATGTAAGACAAATAGAATGTGATAAAACTTACAAAGGAAAACATGTTCCTTTCATCACATTGTGATAATCTTTTATCCATATTCGTTACTAAAATGGGACTGAGGCCATAGTTTTAAAGGGGAAAAAAAAAAGAAAAAAAAAAGAAAAAAAAAAAGTACTAATGTTTATCAATCGACTTACTGGCAAAACTCGTTTAGAAGTATTGAGATCAATTGTGAGAAATTCCAGATTCGGACAACTATTCAGAAAGAATGTGATTCCATAAAATTCTTCTTGAATGAGCGATGCTTTAGTATTAAGTGATTGAGACGCCTAACTTTGATCCCTGATTGAGTTGGTGAATCTCCCATTGGAATTACCTGCAAAATAGTATATAATAAATACTTCTTACAATCAAAACACAATGAAAAACTATTTGTATATCGAAAGAGCAAGAATATTTTGTTTTTCCCTCTGAGCGTTTTATTTTCTGAAACAACTATATGATGGCACAAATGAACAAGTAATGGGCACATGTTGTGCCCAAGTAGTATCAATCCCATAAAAAATAAATGAATACTCATGCATGGCTCTCTTTCTCCAAACATTAAGTCCCTTTCCGTCCCAAAAAATAGTTTATATTAAATTTTGAGATTTATAATTTTTTATACTTTTATCCTTCTAGATTTTGTACGTCTTAAGAATTAATCTAAAAAAAATTGTACATTTTTATTAAATTGAAATCAATTTTTTGGGACAGATATGTAAAAGTTAAAAACCACTAACCTGAAGCATGCAAGTGGATAGAGTGAAAGTGTTAACTTCATAGATATCATTTAGTGATCTATGAAGGGTGACACCATAATCTTCATCAAACTCGCCTTCTAGCTCAAAATCCAGACTTATGAAGTGTGGCGCCATATCCTCATTCTCACTTGTAAAATCAAAACGAACAAGTACTCCAGAATAGTAGAAACATTTCAATTCAGGAGTGTTAATTTCCAGTCGCAGTATATCTTCATGTTGAACCGTCCAACACTTCTCCATAATCAAATTCTTCGAACTTTTGCTTCCTATTTTGAAGTTTCACAGGAAACCAGCATCTTCTTAGTGTCAAAATCTCCAAAAGTGGACATTTCTTCAGCCAGCTTCTAAGGCTAGCGGAACAAGTTATCCATCCCAAAGAAAGTGATTTCAATTGGGAAAATGGGTTGAAAAGTGGAGTAATTTCGGGAATATTGCACGAGGACAAGTTCAATGATTGAAGATTTTGGAATTTATTTTGATGAGCTAATGGAAGGTGCACAAATGTGGGTGGACGACAATTTACGATGTCATTTGCGTTCCAATTTGGATCCGAAAAGTTAACATCAACAACACTAATTTCATGAGTGGAAACGAACCTTAAGCATTGGTGAATTATGAGGAGATGTTCCTCAGGATGAGCAAAGCTTAACAAGAATTTAGTCGAACCTGTGTTGTCTGAACAACTTCTCGTAGTCCAACCCAGTACAAAGGCAAGAAGAGCCTCCCGCTGTTTATTTCTCCCGGCAACATCTCCCGTTTCTGGCTTGATTGCCACGAAATCGCTCTCATTGAACTCCAAATTATTTGTTCCTAGCGAGATGAATTGCCATCTACTTGAAAGAATTGACAACTTCACAGCCCTTTTGAATGGCAAAAGGGATACAATCCTGAACAATAAATCATCCGGTAAAGAGGATATTCTATCTTGGTTGACACCCATATTGTTTCCTATACTTTTTTTCCCTTTAACGAAAACTTAAATGGTACTATAAGAAATCTGAAAATAATGCCCTAGAGAAAAAAAAGTGAGACACCAACAAGGTTGGAAGATCGACTTTGCTAGATAATTGGGAAGTTTTTTTATACATGTACGAAACGGTGGAAAATCTTGCATACGAGGCGGGGTGTTCATTCAAACTGAAATGGTCTCATTCGTTTTAAGATTGATTTCATTTGTTATTGGTTGCCTGAGAACGGTGCATCGTTCCGCATAAACAAAATCTGTCAAATGAAATCTATGGTTTCCTTATTTATTGAGATTTTGGTGAAAGCAGCCTAGGCCTTTTTTTCATGAATAGATAAAGGTACCTCGTACTTCAATATTTAATTTTGATAGTGATTAGTGACAAAGAGTTTTATCCTTAACTTCTTAGTGTTATCGCAATAATATTTCACTACATCAAATTCTGGTTACATTTCACTGAAAGATTTGAATTGTTTTGCTTTTATTGAAGTTGACAACACCCTAAATTACAGTTCAAATGTTTTTTTTTAACGTAAACAAATGTTATATTGCGTAAATAGATGAAAAGACCTTACGAAATCATATCCTATTTGAAAACTCGGTTGTATTCTGTCAAATTAATGTCATGTCGCTAGTAATCTCAAATAATTTACCACAAAATTCATTATTTCGTGGTTTGAACTGGGGAAACTCAGTTGAATAGATCCGTTAATTCTTCTTTGAAGCGATATGAGATTGAATTTTGAAATCTTGCAAATCTTTGAAGCGATAGTCCATGCAAATCTTTGTTCAAAAGATGACACGTGCCCTTTGGAGTAATGCTTCTCTTCTAAACCTTTTGCCTCTCTTATTTGTTTGAAATACAGTAATAAAAATTGACTCTAATGTCAACCAAGCATTATTTTATGGTTTATTGTTTTTTTTGAAATAATAGTCTTTTATTTATTTAGGCCACAAATAATTTGTTACATTTTGAACTTTCTCAAGTCAATAAAGTCGATTCTTCAACTATTAATTTTGTTATAGGTCTTCTGGCTACTTCTTTTACTTTTTCTATCATATATATCTGGCTTGCATATTTTACAATGTGTGAGAGATTTTAATTAAATTATTAAAATGACAGAAAATTTTACCAAAAAAAAATGACAGAAAATATAAATGGGCTACGACCGTGCATCAAAACAAAAAATTAAACAGGCTTTATAGTTAAATTAAACAACAAAATATATAACTGCACTATTACCGTGCATCACCATAGAGAACTAGAGTATATCCTATAGCTACGAAAATAATGGGTGACAAACAAACAAAATAGATATTAATATATGTTCATAGGTTCAGCCATTTAGCCTGGATCTTCCTTGCTATGATTAGAATAGTAATGCATATAGAGAAAATTTATACGGAAAATTTGCAACAAATACTATGTCAATCATCAAGTCCTAACCTTAATTAAATACTTAAACCCGAAATAACATATATTAAAAATGAATGGTTATGATTCTTTCCCTGTTGAAATTCCTCCTAAAATTCCGGTACAAATGATTATTGTTATGATTATTTGTTAAAACAATCAAAAGGATAATGATTTCTACTGGGAAAATTCACAATGAATTTTAAATGGAAATAATTTCCTAAATGTTTATATTTATACATTACATTTTGGGATTTAAGATATTGGGGACCTTTAAAATTGCACCATATCATTCTCTATTAAAATTGCTTGGTAATTTTTACTGCATGTGTCAGCCCTCCCAAAATAATACAATTGGCATTACATTAGTATTTATAAAATTGATAGAAATTAATAAGATGGTTGTATTACATGGTTTCATAAGTTTCACAATTTCGTAAGTAATAAGTAATTGTCTTACATGGTGATTGATACAATATTGGGATACTTGAAAGAAAAATCATTATCATTTATATAAGACAAAAGAGACATTGAATCGGGAGAAATAATTTATTTACAAACCTCAAGCTCCACACCCACGACATTTGCACCTGATTCTAAACGACCCCCCCCCCCAGCTAATTAAGAAGAAAAATTGAAATGTATATACGTTGAAGAATATCCTAATTAAATTTTGATTTTTACAAACATAACGTATAGTACACTTTAGAGTCTAGGCTCTCATGAAAACATTTTCATGTGTAGATTTGCTGGGAAGCACCTAACATTGATCCCCAGGCTAACATTTACTGCAAGAAAACTGACATTTAGTTACCAGGCTAAGTCGTCAATAAAATTGAAAAAGTCGTCAATAAAACTGTGTATTGACGACAAATTGGTCGTCAAAAAGTCATCGATATAAATTCATTACCAAAGCCTAATATTAACGACATTCTCGTAGTTGTCAATAAAACCCATACTTATTGACGACATCATATTGTCACAACGAACTTGTCAATGGCAACACGTTGTGGTCAATATAAGGTAACCCTTTTTTAATGAGAATAACATTGACAACAAAAAGTTGATAAAGATAAATTGCATGGTCAACCTCTTTTTTGACGTGACGGAGTTGTCATTGATAATTAATGGTCATTTTTTATAATGACGACCGGTATTTGTTAACAATAAAGATTCATAATACATTTTAATATTGACGACTATTGGTCAAAATAATGATGTAACCTCATTAATGAAATATAATAACAAAATTAAAATATATCCGTAAAACAAAAATAATGGAAAAAGCCGTTACAACCTATTATTTTGTCTTTCTTTTGCACAACTACATTAAACATACAATACCTATCGTATAGAACTAGGATAAAATGATTAACTATTGTAATCATGTAAAGCTTCAATGACCCAAAGCAAAACTTGATCATAGTAATACCCCTTAATTAATGTCACAGAGCAGTACATTACCAATTAGTTTATTTTGCACAAGAGAGTCATCAAAGACCAAATATTATATCATCAAAAATTACTGAACCATGAAGCGGTCGGGTACCTTGCAACACTCCACCCTTCAAATCTTCTTTAAAGTTACTGCAAAGCCATCCAAAAAAAAAAAAAAAGACGTTATTAGTGAAACCATACATTTACAAAATTAACATGGCATCAAAGAGTACTTAGATAACACCAAGACAGCATAGCAAATGGCTAGTAATATGCTTTACCCCTAGAACTTATTCTCTTTATGTGCTTAAAATATGCAGTGACATGGATTTTGCCTAATTGGTTATTTTCTGAGTCAAACAGCAGGTTCTAGGAAACAATTCGAAGCGCCTCACCTAGAATTGAAGAAGGCCAAAGTTATTCAAAAAAAGAAAAAAGAAGAAGGCCAAAGTAGCTAGATGATACAAAATTGCACGTCTTATGACATGCTTCAAGTAATCTCTCCTGTACCGGAAAAACGAATGATCAAACTATTTTATTTGGGAAAAAATCTTACAACTGTGTTAAACTCATTCAGCAGGTATAGCGTTCCATTAAAGGCTAACATAGAGGATATCATAGGAGAAAAAAGATGAAAAGAGAATATACCAAAGTTCGATTGGCTGAATAACAGACAGATTTGATACTGTGTCGCATTAATGGCCATAATTTTTGTGCTAATGTCGATAATATATCAAGATTTTCAATAGAATTTTCTACTACTTCCATGGTGCCGGAATGACTAATTTTATTTAGATCAATTCCCTGTTTCTAAAAGGATACCGTGGAGTCAAGTGACTTTGGAAACACCTGCTCGTTTCCGCTAATATTAATGCTGCAAGTGCTCAAAGATTTAAGTTTAATATGTTTCTATTCAACTATGGAGGAGAGATATTGATACTCCAAGACATCATTTCCAAGTTAATATATATACCTTGCGGAATACCACAAGTAGTCACTTCTATAGCCAGTAGTATTAATTTGCTTAGCTAAACCATGTCTCCTAAATGTATTCTTCTGTGAGATATCCACAGGTTCATTCACCCAACTCCACTAGAAAGTGGTTAGTTAGAAGTTATGAAAGCTGGAATCGATATGATAGCAATGATCTTTCAAGAAAAGGTCGTAAGATGAAACTAAGAAGAAATTATAACTTTTGGAGTATAATAAAATTTTGATGAGAAACAGAACAGCTTTAAAGGAAATGTTGTATTAACTCGTGAGGAATATTACCTTTGCAGAGTTAAATGCAACATGCTCGTAGTCGGGGAAGATGTTAATAGACCACAGGGTTAATTCACAAGTATTTGCCATTGAAGTTGACACTTGCATCTGTGTCAAGAGTCAAATGGCAAGAAAAGCAGCACTCAATCCAAACCCTGTTATGTAAACAGCAGCCTACAACAAAAAGGCTATTTGGAATCTGATGAACATGCATACATGCACATCGTATACCTCGATGGACAAAGAAATACGCGAATGAGTTTCATTAGGAAAGGGGTTTCAGCAACGGACATGTCCTGTCAAAACTGAACTTTTTGTACAATCCATAACTTAGTTTTGCAATCCGTAAAAAAATAATTAAATTACACTAAATGTAGAAGAGTTTCATACAAAGAAATTCAAGAAAAGTATTCAAGATCTAGGACGAATGGGCTGTTAATAGGAGGACACGGATCTGATTCTTCTGCATTTTCAGCAACATAAAGTGGACATCTTGTTCAAATCAGATTTCTGGACAAACCAAGATTTTGTTCAATAATGCGTAAAAACAATATTAAACTAGATTAAACATTGAAGAGATTAACCTCCTCCTCAATATTGAACTAGGCTTTGTTGTCGCGCGTTGCGCGACCAGTATTTTTGTAACTTTTTTATACATCGTTCGTAATTTAGAACATTTGCGATAGTTAAATTTCGGTAACACATTCAAAGGTTAATTTTAGCAAAAAGTGTAACAATTCAATTTTTTATTTTGTAATTTTTAGTACATTGTGTCTCTTTCTGTAATTGAATCAACTTATAGTTCAATTGTAATTCCAAGATCACCCGGTGCACATCCAGAAATTGTTATTCCAAAGTAAAT